CTCTTGGAGGATTGGCTACACTAGGGGTGTGTTGCCTAATATGCAAAGGAGTTCCTGCTACGAAAAGAGCCCTCTGTATGTGACCTATTTCTCTTGAGTGGATAACAGACAAACAGTTTGGTCAAATCATCCGTTGCCAACAATTTCTCTTTACATTTCTTCCCAGATCCATTATATAGGCCACAATGAAGTACATGACAAACATTTTCAATTGACAGGGCATTACAAACACTTAAGCATTATTATCTTGGATTTTCAAATAATGCCTTTCAAGGTACAATGTAGGTTAGCCTGGAATGTTAATGAAAAAAGGCCTTGTGCAAGGAGCAGTATGTCTAGTCATGAAAAGAACTTTTGAGAGCATGATTAGATTTAATAAAATGGAAATATGGTAGGAACTAGAAGCCCAAACTAAGTTTAAATCCTTCAGTCCAAAAAGAAGTCATTCAGCTTGTTTTCATTAGCTTTTCTTTTTCACTTGAAAAAAGATGCAGTTTCTTAAATTTTATGCTCATTTTATTGCATGAGCAAATTGATCCAAGAGACATTTTCTTGGCAATGTATTCTCGACTGCAGAAAGATGACAGTAATGTTTAAAAAATTAAGAAAAAGAAGCTGACAAACATAAATCCTACTACCGCTTCTCTAATTGCTACAAGATTACTGGGCATGGTACACAATAACTGAAATTTTCAATAATCTTAAAAATTGTTTCTTGATATTACCAGGTGTTCTATCCATCCCAAAAAATCCCCCTTATAACACAGATGAGAAAAACTAGATCTAGCTCCATTCTCACCCTCTCTATTTCTTTCAAAGTGAAAAACTGGCCAAAAGATTCCAGAGCTTATAATGTTGGTGTATTTAAGTGACAAACCCACTTGCCTTTCTCAGAAAATACAGACTCCAAATAATTACACTTGTGAAATTGTTCAGTTGCCTTGTCATGATGTGAAGGGTAACATCTCCCCCCAATTATTCTGCCTTTATATGCTGGATCACTCCGTAGACTCTCAACCACATTTGTGCAGATGACAACTACATCACGTCATCAACAATGACATTAAAATTTTACTACTGTTTAGGAACTCTATTTATCCTTTCTCACAGTAGGGGTAGGTAAAGCAAGCTGGTCAAAGGTGCCTACTGGAATTCTCTATGTGCTATCAATATGGAATATCCAAATCAATGTGAACAGGTATACCTCAATATCGGTTCTCCATAGTATTGACCAAAGATTATCCTGTTTGATTTTGTCTGAGGTGTAACAAAATTTACAAAAGCTTCTAATCATTATGTCCTTTAACCTATGAACTAAATTTAGTTTACCATAGCCAGTTCCAAGTGAGAATCTAAAAAAACAAATTCTGCTATGCTTAATGTACAAATCTGAAGTAGAACCTGAAGAATCAGTATACAGTCAGCTCCACACATAGGACTTCACTAAAATGCATGATATGCATGATACAAAGAGTGTTGTACCACAAACAAATTTTAAATCATCCACCTCAACATAGCTATGAAAAAATTCCAACGTTTCTTCAACATTTCTTCAAACAAATAAATAAATAAACATCTGTAAGAACTTCAGATACAACACACAAACAAAACTGATGTAAGAAAAAGTGTGAAAAGGCAACTTAGGCAACAAGTTTGCAAATTTCTGACTGAAAGTAAAAAGATTTTGCTGCGAACTATGAAAATAACCTGAGAAATTAGTTAGCAACAAATACTTGTGATTATAAAGGATTTGCTGTAATCCCTCTTTGTTCTCCTGCCTACTCCCCAATCCTGCCAACTACAGTTTAGTAACTTAGACTTTTATAAAGGACACACACTTATTTATTACCATTAGTCATCCTAAGGAAACTGCAGGAGATTGGGCAGGCATAGCTAAGATAAATTTGCTAGGGATGTGAGTGCTTAACCCTTTCCTCCCTCACTCTTTTGCTCATTTATATTCCCATAGGGACTGTGTGAGAGTCTGCTGCATTGTCAGGGTTGGGCAGAGATCACACATCCTCCAGAACCTCACTGTGGGAGCCTCTATAGGCTTCAGACTGGAGCATAGAAAGGGGTTAACAGCATCCTAAGTCTTCCTTCTCTCTTTACACTGCTCTTCACTGTAGTGTGTTAGCTGGTGGGAGGGCTCACACGTCCACCAGGCCTGAGTTTCTAGGCCCTATGAGAGAGACTTCCTGGGGTATGGCCACCCCTTCCTCTCCATGCCTTCCCTGAGGGTTGCCCCACCCTACCAGGTTGATGAGCAGGAACTGCAACCCATCAGGTGTGGCTGGCCTGACGTCCAGACTTACATTCCACCTCCTTTAAATGGCTGCCTCACCTCCCCCAAGCCAGCTGGTGCCAGCACACTAAAGGTGGCTGTTTCTCCCACATCCAGCCGTGCTGGATCAGGAGTGCTGCCAGCCTCTTGGGCAAGGCCAGCTTTGCTGGGCTACCATATGAAGGATGAACTGCCCTGCCCTATTGGCAGAGACAGGGCCAAATTCTGATCCAGCTAGTCCTCTCTCCTTTAACTCTGGTAAGTATGGGGATGCTGGGTCTCCCCCCAGATGGACTGTTGTTTCCAAAGGCACCGTGTTCCCCACCCCTCCTTGGGGCTACTAGTAGCTTTAGGAGAAGAATAGGAAGAGTACGTTTAGGATAAATAGCACCAGAGTAAAAGGTTAACTATATCCTCTGCTCAGTATAATTTTCTGAAAGCAGCTATGAACTGCTGTTAATTTAAAGAAAAAGTACTGAGACATTTATGTGTCACATCTTTTTTGGCTCCAGCACTGCCATCACATACTAGAATGGTGGTGGCAGTGGCTCCATTTTGTATGGTCCTTCCTGCACAACAGCTCTGGCAGCATGGAGTACATGTTGGCTGATGATGCATATTGGCAAGTCAGCACACCAAGTGTTTGCACTTTGACCTCGAAGTTAAAAGACATTGGGGACCTTGGTACATCTAGAAAGCAAAACACAGAGTCCAATGGAGCAGCAAGAGGAATTTGTTCTCTTCCTGGAAAAGACAATTCTGTTCTTAGGGACCTTCCTGTAAAAAACCTACAAGTATTGGTTGCTGGCTGCCAGTACAGAAGCCAGAAATGTTAGTTCTCCAAGCCAAGCACTGTGGTATGGTAGGACTATGCCGCTGCTGGAAAACCCAACAGTATAAGCCAAAGCTGTAACCCGAATGTGTAATAAAAGGCTTATATTACAAGATGAAAGACTCACTTTCCAAGGTATTTATTATCATGGTATCGACAAAGTAATTTGTGACATTTCACTACTCCTTAGAAAGAGACAATCCAAGGTGGCGCTATGCAGACTGACATGCTCACTGCTCTCTAGAGAATTCACCATCTGGACTCACTGAGGCAGAGAGCTCATTGAGCCTACTCAAATGCTTGGAGGGCATAATTTACTCACCACTAGGTTCCTGATCCTCAATGATGGAGATACTTACAATAGACAAATTTCTCACTACATGCACTTCATGCACTCCATCTGACATGACGCAATTTGCTGCTACTTTAAAATCCCACTGAATTTTTATCTGTGTTGTTCTAATTTCAAATGCCAAGACCTTATGTTCAAACAGAAAACCATCTAAAATAAATGTCAGCAACAGACACAATTAAAAAACCTTTAAAGATTACTCACTGTCATTTTACCTACTGCATCTTGAGTAAGACTGAATTACCAATATTTTTGAGGGGGGTATAGTAATTAATATAGCAGACAAAGTTTAAACTCTCCAAATTATCAAAAAAAGGTCTTGGAGCAGAGAAGTGTGACTGTCCTAGCTATAAGAAATAATGAACAAATTATAATTAAAACTAGGGGGGAAAGTGGTAAGATTTAAGAGGTTAAAGTGAAAAAAAAAGGTGTGAGAAAGATGTTACTAACTGGATTCACCAACTAGAGGTGTTCAATTCACTGGAGTTACTTATAATTAAATGTAGCCATTTTAAAATAAAAATGTGTAAGTTGGTTACAAAATCATCTGGGCCCTTTTGCTTCTTGACAATAATAATTTCCCCTATCCTGTCAGGAGACTTGGGAGACATCCATGTATACTTGGTAGCAAACAGTAAAGCATAATCAGTCTTCAAGAAGACAATATCCATTACAGTCCTGCCTTGTCGTACATGTTCAAGTCAATTAAATATGATGGATGGCTACTAGGGGTAGCTCTTTTTGCGCACTCAGAAAAAAAGATTGTCCATCTGCTGTAATGTATGCGTCATCATCCACTGTAATATACATGTGTAGATATATATGCAGAAGTACAGCAGTGCGTTCAGAGCAGTGATCTTAAAGGGCTGGTTCACATATCCACTTAATCCTCCCATCATAGCTGAATGTGTGGATGGTCTCCATGTAACATCACTGGATTTGTGCAGATAACTCTGCAACATTGTATTCATACATGAGTTTTTATACAGGGTTGCCCAGAGGGGCACTTTAGAGCTAGGCAAGCCATCTGAATGTTTGCATACAATGTTTGCTTAGATCTGGGACTTGCGTAGGCAGAGGCCTGTTTTGTCTTGTGGGTACGTGATGGCTCTCAGCATCCCTGTCTGTGTATGGTGCCACAGTCAATGAGTAATGAACTGACAAAAAAAATCTGAAAGTAAAAGGAGAACATACCAAGAGAACAGTTACATAGCCAGATACTGCATACATTTCTTCATATGAAACTGTTCTGCTTCCTCCTTTTAGACCAAGATGATATGAAAATACCTTCTTCAGAAAAAAATAACCATGTGACACATTTTCAAACACCCCCCCCCCAATCCTACCAAATTCAATGTGTGTTTTGGTCCTATGGAAATTCTGTGATACCGTATTGCATTTTAGTGGTGATGACCTCTGAAAATGTTCCCTTGGATGTCAGATTCTCTATTACTGTGCTACTGATATCCTAGAAAATCAACAGAAAACAAAATACTTGGGAGCAGGGGAAGCAATTGAAAATATATACTTACCTGAGCAGGTGGTGGTTGCTGTACGTAACTCTGTGGAGGAGGTGGGGGTTGCAGGACTTGTTGGGAAACGGGTGGACCTGAACCTGTAAAACCTCCAGGGGGAAGCTGCTGGCTTGGGGGTGCCATGACGTAACCAGTCTGCGGGGCAGACTGCTGTATAATAGGTGATGGATAGACAGGACCAGAAGGCGAATCGGGGTTGTCTCCTGAGGACTGGCGACTTAAGCTCATCTGGCTAAACTGTGTTGTCATGTCATCTCTCTGTGAGGCAAAAGTCAGTTGAAAATGATCAACAGAGATCTCTGCAGTAAATATTTGGAAAACAAAAAAATGGGTTCAAAGAAGCACACACAAGAAGCAGGAGAAAATACATTCGAGCTCACAAGAAAAGTGAACAAACACCCACCCACCAGAACTTGGAATTAAGTGAGAAACCCCTTCACCATACTCATTAAATTCATCAAACCAACCAACCTCCCCCTCTACCAAGGAATCTAACTGTGCTATCCTAAGCACAATTTTATACTTCTAAGGCCACTGAAATCAACAGGCTTAGAAGGGGATACGGCTGCTCAAGTTGGCACTGTGAACTCTGCTTGAGATTCTCTTTCCCATTTCACTGTATTGATTTGACCCCCATCCACGTATATATGAACACAAAAGGAAATGTGACAAGCCTTTCCAGCCATCCTAAAGCCATTTAAGATTTACAAGCACATATTATGAAGATGATATAAAAAGGATTTTCTACGTGTTTCAACAGAGTCAGGCTCTTCACTGTTGATACAGAAACACGTGGTCCTCTAGATGTGTTTTCCACATAGGGAAAAGCATTTGTGATTTCTCCATTGCTGCTGCTGCTGATAAAGTGCAGTGGTGAGTGGACTTCCACGGGGTAAGTGGAAACATTTTCCCTGATCGATGCCCAAACAGTGGCTACACTTCCCCCATGCCAGCACATAGATTTTTCATTTCATTAAAAAAATCAGCTACTGAATACATTATAATGGTACAACAATCTGCATATCAGAAGCTCTGAATTCTCAGCTTTCATTTTTGAAAAGTAAGTTTCTAATCCCTTTCACTGCAGAGCCATGTCTTTCCCCTTATATCTCCACAGCTATGGCTGTGATGAGACGAGCTGTTTGATCCAATGTCATTGCTTCTCCCTTCTGGATTTAAAATGCTCATTCAGACAGCCTCGTCCCCACCCCATTCAACAGTGGCTGGCCTCCTGTTCTCATCCCCAACTTTCCCAACACTGGAGAAAGTTCGAGCTTTATGGATTCAACCGGTTTCACTGTGCATTTCCTGATGTCTGAACTCCCTCTTGCAAACTCAAGCCGTTTGGGAAGTCTGATAGAACATTTCCATCTTTGCACCATTTTTAAATTCAGGTAGCAATATGAGCATAAGCGGAACTCCGCCAGAGGGCTGTGAGACACCGCTTGTACTTTTATGTGCTGCAATGTTTTGTTGGTACTGGGAGCCCCCCCCCCCCCGGGGAGGATTGTTTTAAAGTGACAAATTCAAGAAAAATGACCCTTTCTGCCATTTCTTGCGGTAGGATGGTGCTGGAAATAGTTCTTATTTAGGCTCCCATATTGACAGCCAGGATTCTGACCCTGGAACTTTAGTCCAAGCCACTTCATAATACTGCTCTGGCAGGAATGCTCTATAGGGAGAGAAAAAGGGAAATCTTCCCTATGAAATGAGTGGGAAAGGGAGTAAGATCAGGTGGGAATGGGAGTGATTTCTGGTGCAGAAATACAGTTGTATAGGAACCAATGATCACAGTACTTGGTGGAAGGATCGCGGAGCTGTCAAAAAAGAGTGGTGCTTCAAATAAGCACTTCTGCGCATGCTCATAAAACACATTAAAAAAAATGATGCCTGAGCACCTGCTCTGTGGTTACCGTGCAGCAGTAATCTGACCGGTCGACCATGGGGCAAACATGCTGTAAGGCAGGATAAGGGTGGTGTGTTTGGATGAAACTCTCCAGAACAAGAACACCAGATAAATTAGAGATGTGGCCAGACTGCACTAAGCCTGATGTTTGACCACAGCCTAAAGGAGTCTTAAAAAGAAAGCTGAGAATTCAGAGAACCCGATACACAGATTTGTATGCAGTGGGGACAGGGAAAATGGCAGTGGGGACATGGCAGCTATCCATAATTTGCTATAACCTTTCCTAAAACGTGCCATCAAAACAGGTTCAAAAAAGATTGAAGAAAACTGGGGGAAACCTAGGAGGTACACAAATGCACCACGAAAACCACTTTCCCAAAGCATGAAATCTGGGGAAAAGGTTTAACTTTGTCAGCTTCTTTAAAGCCAGGTGATAAATCTAATTCTCAAACAAAAAAACAACAACAAAAATCAAGGGGAAATTACAGTTTGACATTGCTGAAGTTGAGTTAATTCACAACTTCAGAACAATGGACCCCCCTGAACTGAATAGCAACACAGGATTCTCATCTCACTACATATACTAATTTTCTGCCCCCAAGCTTCCCCCCTCTGCCCTAATCAAGCTGATTACAATATGCATTGTACCTCTGCATCCTTTACAAGTATTTTTATGACACCCCTCCCATCTTCTGACTGGGATATAAAAACTCAGAGAACTCCATTCCTACTCGTGTCTGATGAAGGGAGATTTCATTCTCGAAATCCTATACCCTGACAATCATGTTGGTCTCTAAGTTGCTACTGGACTGAAATCTAACAGCTATCATCCAGATACACTCCTTGGACAGATGGGAATGTTGATGTGCTTCCCCTCTTATTTCAATGGCAAGGACAATGTTTGAGAATGTTAGTCATAAATTAGAACATTAGAGAAAAGAGAAAAAATGGGGAAAAGGAAATAAACCCATCCTATTAAAACCTTTCCCTTAATCAAGAGTTCCTTTAGTTGCACAGCAAAAGTTGGGGCACTGCAGAAGCTGACTCCCTTGAGGAGTCTGTTTGGGGTTCCTATATGCCAAGCCTCTAACTTGTGTGGTATTTCCGTGGACCCAGAATTAAACTTTGCTGGTCTTAAAGGTGCCACTGGACTCAAACTTCGTTCTCACATCTATTTGTTTACTCTTAGTTGTATGTTAATATGCTGCAATTCATGGATCTTACCAACTGCTTTAATTCAATTTTAGTATACTTATCACTCAGTTACATATGCATCTTGACTCTAACTAGCCCTTCTTGGCAACTACCCCTCCTTTCTCTACCTGTACGTAAGGCTTGAGGAAGTCTGTTTCAATGTATATGAAGAAGTGTTCATGCACACAAAAGCTTATACCCAGAATTAAGCTTTGTTGGTCTTAAAAGTGCCTCTGGAATCAAACTTTGTTCTACATTTTTACAGTGTCCCATATTTTACCTCGAGCAATTGCCTAGACAGGATACCTAGACGGAAAATGCCAAGGTCTGGTTGAATGTCTAGTTCAATCATACAAGAGTTGGGGAAGTTACTGAACCTGACAGGAAGCACAAATACATGCTGGTGAAGGATAAAAATAAATCTGGGTAAGGATAAAGAGATAATCCCTATCTGCAGAAACTGGTCAAGGGCATATTATGCAGTTCAAAGCAAGTCTATCCTTTTCATGCAAGAATGAAATCTCCACCATGAGCAGAGTGTTCTGAAGAATCTTTCACATTAATCCAGCTTGCTCATTACGACTCTGACATGACAGAGTAAGCTCTCCCCCGCCATCCCTTTGTTATGAATTTTGTATGTGTTTACACCAGCTGTTTGTCCCAGAACACATTTCAAGATTGGTCTCTGAGATATGCTTCACTTTCATAATTTTTGGTGGAAAAACATTTAAGGTACTGATGGCATGACCTTCAGAATAGTTGTTTTAGGGCTTTTACCCTGTTTTATTCTGTGTTCAGTATATTTTATGTTGTAACCACCCTGAGCCCATTTGGGGGGGAAGGCAGGATAAAAATTTAATTAATTACATAAATAAATAAATACAACATACATTTCCCTTGGTTCTGATAATTTTTCAGTGCTCCTATCTATACCACCTTTACTCCTGAATGTACAATAAGGAAGATTCACACATGACACTTCAATATGGAAACCAAGGTTAAGTAGGCATTCCAGTTCCCACCTCAAGTGTGGTTCCCTTTAACCTGACTGCCAAGTATCTTCTTTCCACTTTAAAAAATTTATAATAATTCATGAGATTTGTGCAAAAGAACCTTTGAACATCCAAGAGGATACCTCATTGATTCCTGCAATTTAGATCAAGATATAAAGAAATTCTCCCTCACTATCCTTAATCTTTGCATATGCACTGGAAACATACAAAACACAGGCTCTGATCATACCAACCGAGAAACTGCGGGTGGGAAGCGAGGCTGTTTGCCCCGGGGCGAACTGACGCACGTTTACGTGATCAGACTTCTGCCCGCCCGCCCTGCAGTTCCCTATGCTACTGACGTTTCCCTGGTGGTTTTTTGCGCTGCTCCTGTGGCGCAACGAGATGCCCCGCCAACGACTCCGGGATGCCAGACAGATGTGTCTGTCTGATTATGTCCCTTTAATCCGCGGGGGAATTGTTTGCCTGCCGCAGCTTCCACTCTGTATGATCGCAGCCACAGTTCAGAAGTACACAGGGGCAACAGACTGAAGTGCTGTTGGTTAATACTAAGCACAGGGAGCGATCATAAGCATGTCTAAGCATGTCCAATTTTGTTAACTAGGAAAGTGTCCTTAGGATTGATTGAAGAGTTGGCCTGCTTTGGAGAAAGGTGCTCTCCCTCCTTTGGAGAGAAGGTTCACTGTATGGGGTTATTGTGAGAGTTGTGCCTACAAGGGGAACTTCAGGATTCCATTGTAGTGCCTTCAGTAAATCTGCTGCAGCTCTTCCTTGAGAAAATTAGCTGTGGTTATGTATATTCTGATCATATCTCTGTTAAACTACTGCAAGGCACTCTGTGTGGTTGCTTAGAAGCTTTGACTTGTGCAAAAATACAGTTGTGAGATTTCAGACCAGTCTAAACTATGAGATATATCATTTGACAGCATTAAAAGACTTGACTGCCAATTTGCTTCTGGGCACAAATCAATTTTGCTGGTTATTACATTTAAAGCACAACATGGCCTGGAACTAGAATCCCCGAAGGACTGCCCGCTCTCTTGCGTATTTATTTAATTCCAACTTCACACTCTGCCTTTTTCTGAGCACTCAAGGTGGCTAACCAACACTAACAAAAATTTACAGTAGAACAATAAAATCTCTCCCTTATTATAATTGAATAGTGGGTGCCAAAGTTCTAAAGTTGGCCCCTTTAGTGTATGGAAGATTAAATTGTCAGTCAGAAGACGCTGGCTGGGTTGACTGGCTGCTTTGTGCAGTCCCGCCCAGTGTTTCAAGGTCTTTTGCATATGGAAGCTGATTGGACTTCACTCCATTCCACACCTAAACTCCCCCCCACCGCAAGGCAGTTGGAATGTCAGTTGCATATGGAACCTTCAAGGTCTTTTGCATATGGAAGCTGATTGGACTTCACTACATTCCACACCTCAAACTCCCCCCTCCCCTTAGGAATTGTTTGGTGCATTTACGATGGGGCACCCACCCAGAGCCTCTGGCATTTTCTCACTCTGCTGGCATCAAAACCAATTTAAGGCAAAATAAGAGGCTGCTGAGAGGGGAGGAGATAAAGTTGCCAGCTTTAGGTATGGAAATTCCTGGAGATTTGAGGAGTGGAGCTCGGAGAGGGGGACCTCAGACAGGTTACAGTGCCATAGACTCCACCCTCCAACCCAGCTATTTGCTCCTGGGGAACTATTGTTGCCAATCTTGGCCCAGCAGGCATCAAACCATTCTCTTCAACCCCCCTGCTGTGCAGCTGACTTTCCCCTAGGGTTGCCAATCTCCAGGTGGGACCTGGAGATCTCCCACTGTTACAATTGATCTCCAGATGACAGAGATCAGTTCCCCTGGAGAAAATGGATGCTTTGGAGGGTAGACCCTATGACATTGTACCTGCT